ACTGAAACATATATCTGTAATTGTTTTATTTACACGTGTAAATTTAGAAATTCTATTTATCATTCTCATGGATTATGTGGTGATTGTTATGCTAGGTTGGTTGGTAGACCGAAATTTTTAACCAAAAATTCCATTTTTTACTTTTGATTTAGTATTTTATTATTCGTTGATAAAATTTAAATTAGTTAAAATGTAAACTGAATATAAGTTATCAATATATTTAAATAAATCATTTTTACATGAACATAAATCAATTTTAAGTTTAATTTGTTGTAAGTAAATGTATTTTTGTAATAAAATTTCTCCTCCAAAATCGTTTACAATATTATTAAGAAGCTTTTCAAACATTTTTTTTTCTTTGTTTGTGATTATTTCTTCTTCTGTAAAAGAGTTTACGGAAATAGTTGCTTTTCCAGTTTCTTTATCATATGGTACGTAAAGATAGTAATTTTTGTAAAATTCACGGTGAATTCTTGAGATTAAAGCCTTTTCCTTTAGCTTTTCAATTTCGATTTCTTTCAAAATTATTTCCATGTTTTTTTTAGTTGGAAATATTTCGTATATTTATTGATGATCTTTCCCAAGAAGAAGTTGTTCGAGAGAAGATTCAGGATTTTTTATTAAAAATGGAACATAAACAACCGATTACTTTTCTTCAAATGATCGATGAGAATATCAATTATCTTTCTGTTAATCGTCATATAGGAAAGCGCGATTTTCGTATCAATGAATACAAGAATGTGTTGTCTGAAACACTTTATCTAACTTTTACGAAGCATCAACACGTGAAATTCAAAGAGCTTATGTATACGCTTCATGGAAAATTTCCGGAGATATATCAAGAAAAGTACATGGTTTTTAACGATATTTTATCTCCATTTATTGTTAATTACACATATGAGCAAATGGATTTGATTGTTGAATATAGGTTAAAACTTGAATAAGAATTTATGAAATATCAAAAATATTTTTATTCTTTATTTGTTAATAATAACATTACAAAATAGTAAATTCAAGTATCTGAATAATTTTCTTTTGGAGGATTTTTCAATTTTTTTTCCAATTTCATTTATAATGTTGAGTATTTTTAACGATGTTTTACCAAATTTTTCTTCTTGATATTCAATTACATGTTTCAATAAATTCTTGAAAAAGATTTTTTCATCTTTTGTAAGCAGATTGTATTCTTCACCAACAGGAACGTGAAAGTAGTAATGTTTGGTAAATGTACGAAAGATTGACGCGAATATAAATTTATCGATATCATCGGTGACAAAATCTTCAATGGTACTATCTAAAAATTCAAAGAGTTCTTCTTTGTAAGAGGTATCGATTCTACTCTCAATTTCATCGAAAAGATCTTGATGTTTTTTGATGATTTTTTCACAGATTCTTTTCTTGGCTTCTTCGATTGCGTTGTTTAACGTGAGTTTGAACAGAGTTTTTTCTTCGTTGTCGATGATTTCTTTGTTCGTGATTTTACCGATTTTGATAACTGCCTTCTTGGTTGTTTCATTATACGAGATAAGATAGTAGTAATTTTTGTAGAGTTCGCTGTATATCAGCGATTTCAGGATTTTTTCATCTTTTTCTTGGTTCATTTTGTCTGTTGTTTGTTGTATTTTAACACACTTATATATAATTTTAGAAATTACCATTTGTGGACAATCTATATTAGGAAATTAAAACAAATATAATTATGGTAAGATCAAATTATAAGAATTAAAAATGGAACATTCTTTAGTTTTATCTCATTATTTCTTCTTAAACATGTCTAGGTATTTTTACTTATTTTTATTTTTTATTCGACAAATTTGTTAAATTTTATTTATTTTAATACTAGTGATGAAGAGGATATCAGATACATTTCCTTAACCGAACACAACAATCAAATAAACAAAATTTACAACAGACACTTAAGAGAAAGAGAAAAAGAAAGACAATTTGAACAAGAAAAAGAAGAAAAAAGGAGACAATTTGAATGAGAAAAGCTTGATCAAGAAGATCAAAATAGAGAAAAAAAATATAAATTTATATTAAATGTTATAATAATTATTTCAATTATTATCTTTATTTTTGTTTTTTTTCTTGTTTCGATTTATTGTTTGTATCAAGAAAAAATGATTGTTTCCATAGCAAGCGCATTGATAAGCGGGTTAACTGGTTGCGTAACTGCTTATTTTTAACTCAGAAAATAATAAAGAATGTTTAGTAAATTCTTTGTTAATTTAAAGCTAATTTTAAAAAAGTTTCCCTGTCGAGTGATTCGTATTGTATATCGTTTTTTAATGAATCTGGAATTTCTAATTGAGATTCTTTGGTTTGATTGATATTTCTATTCCACCATTCGTTTACATTTTCAAAATTTTCTTTTTGATCTTTTTTGATTTCACATGGTAAATTTAGATATATATTTCTTAGTTCATTATCAGCTTTTTTCCGGTGTCTTGTTTTGTTATTTTCTGTGTATTTTTTTAGTAACTCCTGAGCTTTTTCTTTATCTTTTTGAGTCTACACTTTTCTTTCATATAATTTTTCCACTTGTAACAGATACCAGTAATATTTTTTTTCTGTTAATTCATTGCAGAGATCAGGATTCTTCATCATCGTATCAAGTATTTGATACAACATCGAATATTCAAAATTTTTTTCTAATTCTTCGGTTAAATCATAAAGTTTTTGTAAATTTTTTTCATCCATTTTTTTTTATTTTGATAAATGTATGATATTGCGTTATATATATTTTAACTAAATTGCCGAATATAAATTGTCCACATTTAGCAATTCGATCATCATTTTGTTATATAAACACATTAATTTTAATACAAAAAATAAATTTCAAAATATCAAGTTTCTTAAGAGAAAATACTGCAGATGTTATCATTAAAACTGATCCAGAGATACGTGTGCATTCTCAAATTTTAAGCACTCATTCTGAATATTTTTGTACTTTATTATCTTCAACTTGGGCTAAGAAGGACAAAGAGGAAATGTTTATTATTGAAACTAATCAGAAATATAACGTGATAAATATTATTGTATCTTATATTTATTTTGATATATTACCTGAAACTGATGATGTTGAATTGACAATAGAATTGTTGAAGGAAAGTGATAAATTGTTATTAGATGATTTGGTAAATAAAATTCATGAGTGTATAATACCAAATATCAGAAAGTATGTATTTGATATTGATACAAAAATCGGTATTAGAACATTTAAATTATTATTGAGAAGAGATGATGTAGAAATGACAGAAGAAGAGTTGTTACAGATAAATGAGAAAAATAATTACGATGTTGATTTAGGAGAATTTCGTTTGCATCAGTTGAAAAAAGAAAGAATCGTAGAATTGTTATGGAAAGAACATAATTTTACCAAGAATCAACATCTTTTGAAAGATGCTATCAGTAAAAAACTAGATTCAAATTACGTTTCTTGACACAATATAGGATAGATTAGATATTCTAATATCGATAATGTCTCGTCATTTCTCACACGTTCTTGTATTGATAGTTTGAATAAGATTTTTGACAATCCGTTAACCCGATATAAATTGATTTTTTCCGCGATACGAGGTCAAGATTCCTTGACTGGACTAGATCTCTATGATGTAATTGAGGATAGAGAATCATTGTTGATTGTTGGGGAAGATAATTATTGTTTGTATGGTTGTTACAATGCAGAATATTGGAAATTGGGTGAGAAAACTAAAATTTTAGATAGCTTTATATTTTCACGTGAATATTTTATTTTTCAGATAATGATTTTAAGGTTGGAAAACAAAAAAATGACGAATTATTTGTTAGTATATGTGGTGATAAAGGTCCCAATTTTGGTATTAACAATTTGTATATGAACGGGTTTAATTGGAAATTCCCTAATTTATCATCATATGAACCAGATCCAATCAGACGAAGGTCTTCTATTGATATTGGTGAACGTACACTCAAATGGATCGAAATTTACCAAATTCAAAAGTAATTTTCATATTTTGTATTAAATTTTTTTATTAAATATTTACAATTATATAAATGTATAATATTTATAATGTTTTGCGATATGGTACATAAATTCTCTGCATTTAAACCATTCTAAACC